GGGACCCACGGGGCAGCCGGGCGCCGCCGGGCCGCCGCCGGTGCAGAGGCTCTCGGGGCCCTCGACTCCCGGAAGCCACGCGGAGGCGGCGAGCACGCCGCTGTCCCGGCCCCGCGGAGCCCGAGCGGCCGGCCTTTGCGCCGCGCCGCCGACGTCTTCGAGATTCTCGAGTTTGGACTTCACGATCTCAGGGATATAAACACATGTCAGAGTCCCGGAGGTTGCAGCAGTAATTCGCTTCATCATTTCTGTCTCCGGTGTGTTGAGTATGGGAAAAATACCCACGGAACCGATGCTCTGGGTCTTCTTATGATCTGGGACAGCCACGATGTATCAACGAGCCCTACTAATTTATATGTATAAACACCTGACTTGAAAGTGTAACTACACTACGAAATACTACACAATGTTTTGGGCAGTTGTCTGAAAAGAAGAATAAATGGCAAGAAAATTGGTCCTTCCATGGCCATCTAAGCCTGCTCCAGAGCGAATTTGTGTTACCAACTGATGTCTTGCAGTGATCCCATCTTTGCATGTTTCAAATAGCAGCCATTGGTTATGTCTGCACATTTTTAAGTAGGATTATAGTCAAAATAATTTGTTAGTATAATTTCCCCCAAAGGATCTTTTAACCTTTAAAGATGGTTAATACATTGCTTAAACCATGAAATGCTTTATTTATTAAGCAGATTATAGAAAAGCTATGCTTTTTGGTTTTCCTCTTTATTTGTAATTTTCATTTGGCATTGTTTTTAATGATCAACCTTCCCTCTCCCTGAGACTCAGACAGAGGCTTTCCCCTGGATTAGGCTAAAAGATAAACGCAAATTCCTGACACCACATGTATTCAGAACCGTCCTCCTGCCAGGCATCCAAACAGCTGAGGTGGCTTGCCAGACCACCATCCTTGGCTCTCCCTAAGGATAGCTGCTTTCCAGAAGCTTCTTTGTGCAAGTGGTACCCATCCTTCCCGTCTTCATGCCTAGATGTACCCTATCACAACTCAGACTCTGACTGGACTCTCCAGTGTCCTGACTTAAAGAATTAATAAATAATAAAGAGTAAACAAACAGTTGAACGAAATGAAGAATTAATTCAGTAGGCAGTGGAAAAGTCATTGCTTGCTCACCATATAATTTGGATGAAAAGCATTCTCTCTTTCCAGGTGACGGAAGACAGATTTAAATTAGAAAAGGATAAAGGGAAAGCAAAATCTTCCAAGGAGAAGAAGACTCCAAGTGCCAAGCCTGCCAAAGGAAAGGGGAAGGATCAGCCTGAAGCCCCCCCTGCCGTGAAAAAGACCACCCAGTTAACGCAGAGGGGAGAAGAAGACGCCATCAAATGTTACATTGGTCAGTCAGCTGCGACTCCGGGGGTGCCTTTAGCTTCTTGCCTCACGACCTGTGATGTAACTTCACCTCTCATTCTAGTAATGCTGCTTAATCTTTCCCAGCCTTGTCACTCCTTACAAAACCATAAAACGCTTACACCCTCATGACACCCTAATAGAAAAATATTTCTATCTGAAATTCATTTACATTTCCATGTAAATATTTATTTAGCGTGTGTCTCGCTAGGCATAGTCACATAAGACAAATAAGGGATGGCATAGCCTGCTGGTTGTGTCACCTAGATGCACACTACATTTTGGGGTGCACAGAGGAAAGCCAGATGTAATTATAAAGCAAAATCAAAAGTGATTATTGTCGTGAGCAAAATACAGCGGTAATAAAATCACACCAGTTAATTTGTGACTCACAAAGATCACATAGCTCCTTGACCCCAATTTTCCCACAATTGTCTTATCCCAGATAGAGCAACTAAAATTTTCTTTCATTTTAGACTGTTAATATAAAAATTATTTATCCTAGGTAGCCATAAGTAATCTATGACTGCCTTTCTTTGAACCCAAATGGACTGTTGCTATCTGCATTACATATATATATATATATTTTTTTTTTTTTTTTTTTTTTTTGGG